AGTAAATATATTGAGGGGAATTTATTAAAACAGGAGCAGACAAAATCTGGAGCAGCTGTGCATAGTAACCAATCAACATCTATTTGTTTTCAAATCTTAACTTGAACAAACTGAAGAGAGAAGCTGATTGGTTGCCATGCACAGCTGCTCCAGTTTTGATAAATCCCCCTCACTGTATATACTATGACCGGAATTTATCAAAACTGGAGCAGACAAAACCTGGAGCAGTTGCCCATGGCAACCAATCAGCTTCTCTCTTTCATTTTCAAATCTCAACTGAACAAACTGAAGATAGAATCTGATTGGTTGCCATGCGCAGCTGCTCCAGATTTTGTCTGCTCCAGTTTTGATAAATCCCCCCCTATGCATCTTATACATTTTACAGTGATAGATGGCTTAAGTAAAATGTACTTCATATTCTAACATTGGGATTCCTTAAATAATTCAGAATCTAAAGTATTTGCTTTGCTTCTGTGTCTGGGACTAAACATTAAGGCCCATTCAAATATACATTATCTGCTGCATTGCCATTTAAATGGGCCACCAAGGCAATGAAAATGTGAACTTGCGTTGTGGTGCACTGCAACTTAGGTGTTTTTGGATGACAACTGCATTGGGGTGCTATTCAAAATGATTTCCATCATACTATGTGTGTTGTGGTGACACGTGTTACACCAGCACATAGGTTTAAATTAGGGATGCACCAATACCGAGTATTTGGTCGAATACTCATACTCAACCAAATGCTCCAATACTTGCCTCTGATACCGGAACCTCTGGTCAGAGGGAGATCTCCCTCTCACCGGCAGTGCTGAGGGAGCATGGAGCTGGCTTGCTTTCCAATCAGGAAGCCGGACGGTGGGTTATGACCCGCCTCCCGGCTTCACTTGTTGTGAGGCAGCCTGGCTTCCTAACCAATTAGGAAGCCGGGCGGCACGTAATGACCTGCCTGCTGGCTTCCTGATTGGTCGGAAAGCCAGGCTGCCTACCAACAAGTTAAGCTGGCTTCCTAATCAATCAGGAAGCTGGGAGGCGGGTCATGACATGCCGCCCGGCTTCCTGATTGGCAAGGAAGCCGAATTCGCTTGTTGCTAGGCAGCCTGGCTTTCTGACCAACCAGGATGCCGGACGGCACCTCATGACCCGCCGCCTGGTTTCCTGATTGGTCAGAAAGCCAGACAGCCTCGTCAAGTGAAGCTGGTGCTCTTTCGATAGAAAATCGGCTTCCCAGCCAATCAGGAAACCCGGGACGACGGGTCATGACCTGCCGCCCGACTTCCTGATAATCGGGGCACCGGTATCAGTACTCAGTATCTGCGAATACCGAAAAAAGTATCTATACTCGATATAGAAAAGTCGGTATTGGTGCATCTCTAGTGTAAATGAGTAAAAATGAATGAGCTGCCTTAAATGCAGGGCAGCTTACCTTATAATAAGTAATTGCCCTAATGCACATGCATTAACTTGTATTGTGTGTGTATAGGGCCTATTTGTTAAATCTCTGAGCGTTTGGTGTTTGATCAAGCCTGCACCAATATAGAAATCTTCCCCCATTTGGTGCTGCACAGATAAAAGTGCTAACATCCAATATTTTCCTAAAATCTGCTCTAGAATGTTTAATCATGTAAAAACAGAAGTTCGAGTGGCAGCCTGAGACTCCTAATTCGTCAGTCTTGTGACGTAAAGCATTGGGTTTTTAATGAAAGTCTACCCATAATGTCTCTTTACCTGGCGTTTAGCTTTTAAGTATAGGCGTGCTTTAACAAATATACATTTTATGGTTTATTAACTGTTTTTACTTGACATTTTGCCAGCTATTGTTATTCATAGGTGGAAGTTAAGATGAGAATGGACCAGTTTAAGAAAAACACTTGGGAAAAAATAAAGTATTTAGTGGATGTTTAAAAGCTTTCAGAGTTAAAGCCCCAGAGTGAGACAGCAAAGCACACCATTGTAAATATCATACAATATTCAGTACATCATGCTTTCCATGGGGACCACTTAAAGGCTTGCATGTAACTGATGAAAACGCAAATCAGCTATTCAGAGCCTGTGCAGGCAAGGCCTCGCTACATCATGATTGGTCATGTTGTGGAATTCCTTTAAAAATATATTGTGGTATTTACCCAAGGCTACAGAGTTTGCATTCATTTAGGGCTTGAGTAATTAAATAACTTTAATGACAGGACATCATTCTGTAACTTAAAGAAAGCAGTCAAAGAAGGACGAATAAAAAAACTTCTTAAACAAGTATTACCATTGACCAGCACTAAAGGAGGTTGCCATTGCAAACCTCCTTTTAAAATACTAATTGCCTGACTGTCTTTGCCTTGAATACTTTTTAAGTCACAGCAGAACTACAGTGAACCTTAAAGGAGAACTATGACATGAGTGATTTCCACTCACCTCATAGTTCTAAGCCGACCTGTGACAATGAGACTGTCACAGGTCGGCTCAGTAGATCGGGAGGTGAGAGAACACATACCGGGTTCCCTCACCT